TTGGTACTTTTAATATGAAACAAAGTCTCAGATTTCAAATTCTGTCCATTGTATTGCAGTATTTAAACAATAAATGTCGTTTTGGCGCTGTTTAATGTGGAGTGATCGCTGAACTGATCATCTCCTCCGCTTTATTACTAGTTATAGCACAAAATAAACATGACTAAACATCCGAAGGTAAGTTAAAAGAAAGAGTACAACTTTACAATCCGTATCCAGTCTCGTGTAATCGCTCGATCAGTGTTTCAGCCGCGCAAAGACGCCAATATAACGACTTGTAAACAATGTAACGTCACATTTACCTCAGAAAAACATATTTGGTGACCATAAACTCATTAGTCAGCTAGAAAAATAAACTGTTGAGAGGGGCATTTTGCTAAATATATGCACCATATAATATATTCATTATACTTTTTACTGTTCTTCAATGTTTAATTTATGTTTGAATAAATTCATCAAGTGTTTATGACAGCCACCATTTAAATGTTTATATTTCCAAAAAACGAATTGAAGTAGAAATATTAGTATGTAACTAACTTTATTATTGTAAAAACTTCATTGATTTTAACCTTTAATATTATAGTAATGTAGTACCAACTGACTCTCGTGTATATTTTACAGCATTAGTTAAGAGATTTTTTTTCCTTGAGAAAATTTGGCATGTGCTGTACCTGATATATATCCAAAATAATCGATATTGAATCGAATCGCAAGCTTGTGAATGAGAATCGAATCGAATCGTGAAATTTGTGTCAAAACCCAGCCCTAATAATAACGCCTCATTTTTATAATTTTAGGTATGCAAATACATACGCTGACAGGCGGGCAGAACAGCCAATCGTAGCCCTCGGACCGAGGAATATGATTGGTCGAATATTTAATGTTCCTACGCCTTCCACAGACTATAGAAATACATTTAGAGCACTTAACTCAGTGACTGCTATCGGGATGTGAAGAGACTTTTAACCAGCGTAACAAAAAAATGGTTTTAAACCAAATCACCCACCCTGCCTTAACCAAAATAAAACCATGTAAACTGATTATATTTCAGCTAGACGCCAAGGCAACATTTCTCATTTGCATTTAGTTTTACTTCATGTGCTAAAATAAGCTAAAACTGAAATAAAGATGACTAAAAACAATATAATTTTGTTTTTAAACAAAAACTGATAAAATGACAAAAACAGACAGCAAAATTACTAAAATTAGCTAAAATTTAAATGATTTAAAAACAAATATATATATATATATAAAATTCTATCTGAATTATATTAAAATACTAAAATACAGATTTTTAATGTTTGTGAAAAGTCTCTTCTGATCACTAGAGCTGGATTTATTTGAATAAAAATACAGAAAAAATTTTGAAATATTATTGTAATTTAAAATAGCTGTTTTCTATGTGAATATCTGTTAAACTGTAATTTATTTCTGTGATCAAAGTTGAAAAAGTCTCTTCTGTTCACTAGAGCTGGATTTATTTGAATAAAAATACAGTAAAAATTGTGAAATATTATTGTAATTTAAAACAGCTGTTTTCTATGTGAATATCTGTTAAACTGTAATTTATTTCTGTGATTTAAGCTGTATTTTCAGCATCATTACTCCAGTCTTCAGTGTCACATGATCTTCAGAAATCATTCTAATATGCTGATTTGCTGCTCGAGAAACATTTCTGATTATTAGCAATGTTGAGAACATTTATATTTTTGTGGAAACCGTGATTCATTTTATTTTTCAGGATTCACAGATGAATAGAGAGTTCAAAGAAATCTGTCACTTTTGATCCATATAAAACAACTTTCTGGTTTTTGCAGCAGTGACTGCAGTTCACACCTGAACCACTAGAAGATCCCAGAGACCTTCTTCATTCACATTCTGGTGATGTTCTGGTGAGCGTGTGTTTAGATGCATCATGTGACATGTGTGGTCGTATTTCAGGAAGTCTTCTCATATATTCCTGTTGTTTGTGTCTTCATACTCGTCAAACGCCTGTTTAACTACAGCAGCGCTTCCTCGTCAAACCGGTTTCTCTGTCAACATTCCAGACAGGCACTTCCTCCGGGATCGTCTTAAACCGCAGCGCCAGTGTTTTCAGCCACAGCAATCGCTAACAGAAGCAGAAGAAGAGCTCACCTTCGAGTTTGTGCGTCTGCAGCGGCGCGTCGGTCAGCGTGTGGAAGGAGCCGATGGGAAAGAACGGCGATGAGAGCGACTGAGGCTTCCTCTGCTTCAGAATGTGCTGCAGGAGCTCGTACAGAACATCACCTGCAATCAACAACAGCACAAACTCTCACTCACTGCTGCGTGATGCATCTGGACATGCATAAGGCCGTCCACATTTCTGTGCAATGCACCTTCTGTATTTGCACAACTGACATTTGCAAAAAAATGAAATAAAATAAATGTAACAAACACATGAATAAAATAAATGACATTTTATGAATTAACAAAATAATAAAATTAATACAATAAAAATGAAAAAAAGACAAAAATTACATATATTGTAAATTACACACACACACACACACACACACATATATATATTTATATAGTGTTGACTTTTTTTGTCTTTGTGCAATCTATTCATTACACACTTTACAATCAGATGATCTGACAGACAGACACTCAAACATGAGACGACTGTAAATCATCTGAAGGAAGTCGTCCGTCTTCATGTTGTCTCATGAAAATTGTGTCCTATTTTAAAGAGCTTCCTGAAAGAACTTCAAGGAAATGATTCTCAAGAAGGAAGTCCACACGCACACGCACACACACACACACACACACATGCACGCACAC